AATCCGATATTCTAATATTTTGAGATAGGATATTTGGGTTTCTTAAAGCTTTAGCCGATCGTCCCCCAGCCACTCTCGTTGAAAAACATAAAAGACGTCTATAGACGTCTTTGGCATTATAAGTAACATCTGTCCCCGTGTGTTTCGGTTCTTTTCTTTTCCTCCAGGCCAGTTGAGGACCCGTCTGAAGGAGTACGGGCTGGTTACGCCGTTCAGCACCGATTCCCACGGCCACTACCTGTCCAACCTGCTCTCGGCCGCCCACAAGCAGCGCGTGAAGCGGGAGGCCTCGCCCCCCCCCTCCCCCGGGGGTGGGGGGGGCGGGGGAGGGGGGGGGGACCCCGAACAGAGGCTGTTCTTCAACATCTCCGCCTTCGGGAGGGAGTTCCACCTCCGGCTGAGGCCCAACGAAAGGCTGGTGGCGCCCGGGGCCATGGTGGAGTGGCACGACCAGGTCCCCGGGAACCACTCGGTAACCACGGAAACCACGGAGGATGGTGGGATCGATGGGACCAATGGGACCAACGGGACGGAGAGGATTCTGCGCAGAGAACTGCTAAAGACAGACTGCACCTTCATCGGGGACATCACCGACGTCCCCGGGGCCTCGGTGGCCATCAACAACTGCGACGGGCTGGTAGGTTAAGCGATTATAGCCAAATCTGACGATATAGTTCTATAAGGGAAATAAAACAACAATATAGTTCTATAAGGACATAAAACAACCATATAGTTCTATAAGGAAATAAAACAATCAGTAATGACATAGACCATGTGATAGCATACAATGCTAAAGTGAGTCATTATAGCCAAATCTAACAATATAGTTCTGTAAGGAAATAAAACAATCAGTAATTGACATAGATCATGTGATAGCATAGTATGCTAAAGTCAACAACTGCGACGGGCTGGTAGGTTAAGCGATTATAGCCAAATCTGACAATATAGTTCTGTAAGGAAATAAAACTGTCAGTATTAGGTCCTCCTCACTCGTAAAGCGATTATAGCCAAATCTGACAATATAGTTCTGTAAGGAAATAAAACAACAATATAGTTCTATAAGGATATAAAACAATCAGTAATTCACATTGATCATTTGATAGCATACAATGCTAAAGTGAGTCATTATAGCCAAATCTAACAATATAGTTCTATAAGGAAATAAAACTGTCAGTATTAGGTCCTCCTCACTCGTAAAGCGATTATAGCCAAATCTGACGATATAGTTCTGTAAGGAAATAAAACAACAATATAGTTCTATAAGGAAATAAAACAACAATATAGTTCTGTAAGGAAATAAAACTGTCAGTATTAGGTCCTCCTCACTCGTAAAGGGATTATAGCCAAATCTGACGATATAGTTCTGTAAGGAAATAAAACAACAATATAGTTCTGTAAGGAAATAAAACTGTCAGTATTAGGTCCTCCTCACTCGTAAAGCCGCTCCCCTTCCACTGAAACTCTGCCCTCTGCCCTCCGATTCTTCAGTTGGAAACCTGAGAAAATAAACCAGAGTGGATAAAAAATATCAAAAATTGACATTTTTTGGGTCACAAAATAAACTTTAAAGCAATACAATAATCTTTAAATTTCCAAGTTCAAACTACCATAAATCATTGTGTTTCAAATGCCACCCACTTAAAAAGTACTACAACTACTGTTTCCATTTCTCTAAGGAGCTAACTTTTTCAATAGCTGATGTTATTTACAGGTTATTTAGTTAGTGTTAACCCAATTCTTTAGTTAAAAACCTGAGAATAAACCAGAGTGGATCAAAAGTATAAAAAAATTACATTTATTATAATGTAATAAATATGTATATATTATAATTATAATTTACATAGATCATGTGATAGCATAGTATGCTAAATTGAGTAATTATAGCCAAATCTAACAATATAGTTCTATAAGGAAATAAAACAATCAGTAATTTGCATAGATCATGTGATAGCATACAATGCTAAAGTGATTAATTATAGCCAAATTCTAACAATATAGTTCTATAAGGAAATAAAACAATCAGTAATTTACATAGATCATGTGATAGCATACTATGCTAAAGTGAGTATTTATAGCCAAATCTAACAATATAGTTCTATAAGGAAATAAAACAATCAGTAATTTACACAGATCATGCGATAGCATACTATGCTAAAGTGAGTTATTATAGCCAAATTCTAACAAGTACCATGACCTTATCAAGCGACTCAAAGGGAATTTTAGATGTCTTTAACTGGGCCTTGTTTACGTCAGCACTCAGGATTTTTTTTTACGGCGTATTGTTCCTGTAGATGCTCCTATGGGGGGGAGATGGGATGGGTTTTTTCACGGGTGAGCGGCTATCCATAGCACACACACAAACACAGATTCTCCTTCCAACCTCTTCCCAGCATAAAACACCGGTTTCTTTTCGTGCTCCACAAAAGACGGAAGGTCCCACTCCTCCTATCGCCCCTCGTAAAAACTCCGGGACAATAATCGGGGGAATGACCTGGGCCCAGATCTCTTGGCGTGGCCCAGTGAAGCATCTCCTCATTTAGGGGAATAGAGTCGCCCAGTCAAACCGAGACTCCCTTCAGTTTCGAGTTGAAATACGACGGGGTTTTAAAAAAGCGGCACAAAGGACGTATTGTGACTATTCATTTGCAGATGGAGAATTTGAAGGAAAAGGCTGGAAAAAGTTATTTTGTCTCGTATCGTTTTGAACAGGGCGTGTTTTTCTGCAGGCCTAAGAAAATATCTGAATCACAGACTGATGTTAATTATACAGGACTGTCTCAGAAAATTTGAATATTTGGATAAAGTTATTTACTTTCTGTCATGCAATTAAAAATCATGAAATGTCATACATTATGGATTCATTACAAATCAACTGAAATATCGCAATCCTTTTATTGTTTTAATATCGCTGATTATGGCTTACAGCTTACCCAAATATCCTATCTGAAAATATTAGAATATCGGATTTTTGAGTTTTCTTCAGCTGTTACTTCTGGACATGAACAGGCCAGGTCCTAATTCATGCAGATGACAGGAATGTGCTAACAAATGGTGTGTGTGTGTGTGTGTGTGTGTGTGTGTGTGTGTATGTGTTGACCTAAAGGTGGATCTAATGCAACAGAGAGAGAAAAAGAGAGAAAAGAGACTGTGGACACAGACTAGCTTATATATGTTTGTATTTTTTCATTGTATTTTTTAACTTACCTTGATATGCTTCTTCAGATTAGATGGGGAATTTTTGAAGGCCATGATTTCGCAATATTTCGGGAGAATTTTTTTTAATAGGCTATCGCCCAATGAGGAGCCAGTTTCCCAAACCCTGACAGAGCTATCTATCATTACGTTTACATATCAGTAATGAGTAACGATTCAGCCCCTGAAAGTAAAAGTAAAAGTATTAAATGAATCAAAAATATGTAGTGGAATAAAAGTAAAATTAGGGAAAAAAATATATACTCCAATAAAGTACAGATACTGCATTTTAGTACTTAAGTACAGTACTTAAGTAGTTTTACTTCGTTACTGTACATCTCTGACCAATTGTAACAAGGCTTACGCAGGTTCTCATATTTAGCTTTAGCTGAAACCGTTAGCATCTGCTCACAACTGAACGTTGACTTTTTGTTTAGTCAGGCAGACTGGATGCTAAAGTGGCATAATCGTGCTAATGTGCTTCTCATTATAGGGCCAGAGTCCAGTAAACTCACTGGCCACTTCTTTAGATTCATTTCTGGGTTATGTAACAAGGCCCGGGCTGCCCGGAGCCTTGGATGTCACTGGAAATAAACCGGAAGCATTGAGGAAGTTTTTCTGACCTTTGGCTCTGTTGCAAAGCCCCTTAATTCAAATGTGTATTACTTTAGACCGCCTGGGGACAAAAGATTTGCGTGTAGATCTGGAGTTGTTGGTCTTTTAGGCTCATGGCCAGGGACCTCAGTGAATAATCCAGATGTTAAACGGGATTCTGGTTAGCGTGTCACTGTCTAATCTAGGGTTGGCAAAAGTATCTAACTAAAACGCTGTATCTGGATATGATACTCATTTTTATTTTATTTTTTTAATATTTAATTTTTTAATTTTTAATTTATTAATTTTAATTTATTTATTTATTTATTATTATGTTTGTTATTTTATTTATTTATTTTTATTTATTTATTTAATATATATATATATTTTTTTATTTCATTTATTTATTTATTTATTTAAATAAATAGGTCACCAGTAGGAAGATCCCAGGCAAGAAAATACTAATTGCTTCATGGCAATATAGACATTAATTTAAAAATAGTGAAATGAATCTTGCAAACACTGAATTAAACTCTATCCATAATATGATGTTAAAATAGTGGATGTTAAATAGGTTTGTACAATAAGTCCAAACAAGTTTAACCAGAAAATAGTTATTTCTCACAATTATGAAGGGGGGAGGGTTAGGGTTAGGGTCAGGGTTAAGTTTAGGGTTAGGGTCATTAATGTGGGCCACCATAACATCAGTTACAGGTCAGTTTGAAACCAAAAGATGTTTTTGGCCTTGGTGGTATCGAAAATGGTATCGAGTATGTAATATTTTCCTGAGTATCGATATCCAGTTATTGTGACAACACTATTAACTTCCACTCAAACATTTTATATTTCCCTCTGAATAAGCGCTACGGAAAAAAATACTAAATTGCCGTTCATTACGTTACCATTGGGAACCACTGACTCAGGCCTTATTTGCCTTTATCCTTTGTCTATTTTTGCCCACACTGCTGAAAATGGATACAACACAGCAGGACAAATCAGTAGGGGTATTTATAAAATCACTTGGTCCAAGATTGAGAAAATTCCTCTGTAGTTATGGGTACTAATGGAAAATGTAAAGGCTCTATGCATAGCTGGACAATAGCAGAAAGGAGATATGAATTTACTGCTCTGGTTATTTTCTTCCTGTCATAATATTTTCACATTTTGCATAACAGTTTTTTTTTCTAATGACTTGTAACATGCTCCTGTTTCAAGAAACCTCAGAGGGCCTGGAGAGGAACTTTTTATTTAGTCTTAACCCTATAATGCCATATGTATCATATTTGATTCATCCAGTTTCTAAAGTCTTTTGGATGTGAGACTTTTTGCATCATTCAGTGGTAAAAGCTTTGCTCAAACCCCTGTTGTACACATTCAGATATACCTGATAACAGCCAGTAGAAGACTACACCAACATAGATTTTTGACTTATTGCACGCTAATTTGATCAAAATAATTTCTGTTTTTTTTCTTCATATGTTGTTGAGGGGCCAAGGAAAGACTTCAGACTAAAAAAATCCAATATTCTTCCTATTTTTCTTGGATCGGGCTATAAAGGAGACTGAAGATAGAAGTTTTTTTTTCTATTTAACAGTAATCTACCTATGCAGGTGAAAGATTGATCACAATAGACTGAATATAGAAGCTGTTGTTGTTTGTCTATTTAACCCTTTAAAGCCTGATCCAAGAAGAATGGGAAGAATATTGGATTATAATGCCATATGTTTTATTATTTTCATTATATCATTTCTGTTTTTTGTTCTTCATATGTTGTTGAGGGGTCAAAGAAAGACTTCAGACTAAAAAAATCCAATAATCTTCCTATTTTTCTTCCTTTTTTTTCTTGGATCAGGCTTTAAAGGGTTAAACATGATAAGCACAGAAGATGAGAGAAGTTAGCTGAGTGACTGAATGTAGGATCCTAACTCCACAGAGACGGGAATTCTCCAGAAAGGTTAAAGTTGTAAATGAGCTGTGAGCTCATAGTTGAGGCTCTGCCCAGAATTGGAGGCCGAGGTTTCCCGGCAACTCTGAGAAGGCAAAACATTTCATCTATGGAGGAAACTCCACAATAATAAGCACTCCAGTTTCCTCCATTTCTCCGAGAGCTCCAATCACACAGATCACAGCCTCAAGGAGCCCCTCCGATTAGATTAGGTTTATCACAATAATAACGTTTTCAACTCGATACCGATACTCAGGAAAATATTCAATACCATTTTCGATACCACAAGGATAAAAACAAAGACCCCAAAATGTAACTGAATTTTGACAGGTTAGTGTCTTTGGTTTCAAACTGAACTGTAACTGATGTTATGGTGGCCCACATTAATGACCCTTACCCTAACCCTAACCCTAACCCTAACCCTGACCCTCCACCATAACCCTAAACCTAACCCTAACCCAGACCCTAACCCTAATCCGAGCGGAGGGCCTTCCTGCAGGCCATTCTGGAGCATGAGGAGCAGAACGAGGTCCCAATTTTGAATTGATCTTTTTTTGTGTTATTTCAATGTTAAGACAAAGTCTTTGGCTCTAAATCGGCCTAACCCTAACCCATCTATGATGAATGTACTAGGGTTGTCACGATACTAAAATGTTCAACTGGATACCGATACTCATGAAAATATTCGATACTCGATACCATTTTCGATACCACAAGGATAAAAACAAAGACCCAGATATTTAACTGAATTTCGAAAGGTTAGTGTCTTTGGTTTCAAACTGGATATCCATCCTTGGCTTCTTGCAGGACTTGATTAATGTTGGCTTACGTCATTTTAACTCATTGGCTGCCAAAGACGTCTATAGACGTCTTTTATGTTTTTAACGAGAGTGGTTTGGAGACGATCTGCTAAAGTTTTTCCGTAAATATTAGGCTTCCAGACAGAGTATGTAGTAACAAATTGACCCTCTAGGGGGCAGTGCCACTTTTGATGGGAGATGAGCATAGACTGTAGGCAAATAAGAAAAAGCTAACGGTTCTATGAGAGAACATGGCGCCGGTGAGTCCAGGAAAAACGGAATAAGGTAGAAACACATTTTTTTTTCCTGATGAAAGAAGAGAGTCTACTCTTTCTTTTGGTGTGTTCGGTGTTTACATAGTCATAGCACAAACTATTCTGTGGCTCTTGAAAAATCAGTCAAAATGCTCAAAAAACTCTGGCAGTATGGGACTCTGTTCTGAAAATGGCTGCCAGTCAATGAGTTAACGATCATGTGTTTAAATAGTCCTCATTTCCTTTGTGCCAGTGAGTTTTTGCCTTTTAGTCTTTGTTCCTCTGTTGTTGAGTTTTGGGGTTTTCGTCATTTTGCTTTCTTTGTCTTTTCGTTCCTCGTCTTGTCCACGCCACACAAGATTTTGATTTTTGCACTTTGCCACAGCCTTGTTTTTGCCACAGTCCTGTTTACTTGTTTCGATACTTCTTTCACAGCCATCTTAATCTTGCTTCCATACTTTGTTCATAGTTTTGTCTTCCTTGTTTCGAACCTTGCCTGGTAAACCACTCCTTTTTAGTGCGTTTTTTGTCCAATAAATCCTGTTTTCACCCTGACCTCTGCAACTGAGTCCTCCCTGACAGTATAGATACTTTTGACAACCCTAAAGGGTTAAAATAGTAATTTTTAAAAAAGTTTTTTATGGTACTGTAAGATAATTGAATTTCTGTCTCTGTGTAGCACATTTGTCTGTTCAGGGAGCTGACCAATTAGTCATTTTATCCTCAGCATTTTCTGCTCTTCTCTATCATAAAATCCTCCCGGGGACAAGTCCAAATTTGGCACACGCTAATAACTGCTGAATAAATAACTCGCTGTCTCTCTGGGAATATTGCATATTTGATCCAACTCTGGCTGGTTATGTGGTGACGACCACAATTACGACTCGGGTCGCATTAGCTTAAAGGGGAAACATTATGCAAAACCAAGTTTTTAATCTTTTGATTGTGTACATTTGGGACTGTGGAGGGCCTATCAGCAGGCAAAGTGTGAACAAAAATGACTCAGTCATGTTTTTGTGGGCCGCCTCAGTCTGAATCCAGGAGATAAATCAGGAGGTTTCAGGAGTGGGTAGTTTCTGACGTCATTACCTCTAGCTCATTATAATATTATTATTATTATAATATTAATATTATTATATATTATCTAGCTCATTATAATATTCCAGCCTTTCACCTGCATGTTGCCCCCCCCCCTCAGCTTACTCCCCTATCTGTGGAGACGCCGTGGTAGCGTGAGCGTTAGCGTGGTAGCGTTAGCATGGTAGCGTTAGCGTGGTAGCCGCCTCAAGGCAAATTCCTTGTAAGTCTAAAAACCTACTTGGCAATAAACCTTATTCTGATTCTGATTCTGATTCTGCATGGGAGCGTTAGCGTGGTAGCGTTAGCATGGTAGCGTTAACATGGTAGCGTTAGCATGGTAGCGTTAGCATGGTAGCGTTAGTGGGTGGATTGCCTGTGTCTCATTTGCATTTAAAGAGACAGGCACTCCAAAGCGAGCGCTCTGAACGGGGCTGTTTTGGGTTAGGGTTAGGGTTAGGGTTAGGGTTAGGGTTAGGCAGGGGGACTGAACTGCTATTGGGCTTCATCCTTATGGGATTCTGACCAAAGCTTGTCACAGACATTACATTAGGACACCAGGGAACTAGCTTAACTTGTTGAAATAGGGTAGAATATGTCTCCTTTATAATAGCTGTATCATTCACCGTGGAGTCTGGAATGTGGAGTTTCTACATTTTCTGTGTCGGGAAGTAAGGATTCATAATAGAGCCGGATAAAGAAGCCCGTTCTGTCGTGATAAAGGGAGAAAAGAGAAGAAGGAAATGTCAGTGTGACCTTTGTGTCGGCCCTCTGCGCAGCAGGATTTGATGGTTTCCTTTTAATTCCAGTTTCTGCTGAGAGGTTTGGAGCTTTTTGTGGGAGAGGCCCGACAGGATGTGAGAGTTTTGGTTCGTAAATGTAAATGCTGTAGTGGCAGGATATCGTTAAAAAGATACATGTCAGCCTATTTGTTATGGCAGATTTCAAAAGACTTGGAGTAAAGTAGGACATCCCTGCTAAGTGGTAGTGGATATTTAGCTTCTTTAACCCTATAATGCCAAATGTGTCATATCTGATCCAGTTTCTGAAGTCTTTTGGATATGAGCCTTTCAAGGTTGTTTTTTTACATGTAAAAAAGACTAAACAGACAATAACTCATTCATTTAATTAATTTAAAATGTTTTTATTTATGATATATTTATGACTTTGTATGTTTTCTTATGTTTTAATGTTGTGTTAATGACGATCGTCTTTGATAAGTGTCTTCGAGTGGCATTAAAGGTGCTTTTTAATAATAAAATTTATTTATTTAATTAACCCCTTAACACCAAATGTGTCATATCTGATCCGGTTTCTTTTGGATGTGAGACTTTCTGCATCATTCAGTGGTAAAAGCTTTGCTCAAACCCCTGTTGTACACATTCAGATATACCTGATAACAGCCAGTAGAAGACTACACCAACATATAGTTTTGACTTATTGCACGCTAATTTGATCAAAATAATTTCTGTTTTTTTTTCTTCATATGTTGTTGAGGGGCCAAAGAAAGACTTCAGACTAAAAAAATCCAATATTCTTCCTATTTTTCGGGCTCGGGATCGGGCTTCAATAGACTGAAGATAGAGGTTTTTTTTTATATTTAAATCTAATCAACCTATGAAGGTGAAAGTTTTATCACAATAGACTGAAGATAGAAGCTGTTGTTGTTTTTCTATTTAATACAAAAAATGGTCCAAAACTCCCTAAATCGTTAATTAGGATGCAAATATTGTGAAAATATAAGTTGTTTTGTAAAACTTATATTTTTAGTCTTGTCTGTGGAGGCGAGACATTCAGGTAACAGGGTTCAATCTCGGACTTTTCGCAACCAAAACACAACTATCTTAAAAGGGTGAAATACGCCGCAATATTCTGTCCCAGCAGACGATTTAACGGCTAGATTTAGGCCTGGAAATGATTCAAGACTAACGTTTGTCATCACTGGTGAATGGAGGTGCATTAATTAGTTATTAGATTATTAAAGTATTTATTAACATTTGTACGGACAAAAAAAAACAAATCTGAGTGCTTAATTGACAATCCCTGATCTATTTCATTTCAAATACTTAATTTGGTTTACATTTTGATTTAATCTTAATTCAATATTAGTTTCTTTTTTTTTTTAAAACAGAAAAAAAAAACTTAATTGACTAGCGTTATTTGGTATATTCCCCTATGATTCATGTACATAGTGGACATAACTTGCAGTTGGCATTAGAATATTGTTGGGAAATGTTTTGCATAAGGTTATAATATATGTTTTGTCTATCTAGAGATGTAAACAAAGGAAGGGTTTGATGGCATTTTTGTTTAAAAAATAAATAAAAGTTAAGTAAAAGAGTACTTTCTAATTATTTATCTTAATAAATGTATGTAAATAAATAAATCAAATATATGTTTATATATATTCTGTCCTAAAAAAAACCCATTCAGGAAACATGAAGGTAGTGAACTTAGTGGACTATACTAAGAAAAAAGCTCCTTACTTTTGGGTTACAAATTGCAGATGGCAGGCTTTTAGATTTTTTTCTCCCTTTTTTGCCAGCGGTTCAAAACAGCCAAAAAGTAGCCTGAATATTTTGGTGTGATCATGTCCTTTATTCTTTTGTTCAAAGGGAAATGTGCCTATTTTGACTTTGATCAGACACCTTGTTTTCCAGAAAGAAATTAATGATACAGTTGTGTGAGTCATAAAAAGAAGACGAGACATTTTTTGGGACACTTTTGTTTTCCCGCATAGGATGGAAGATAATATGGGATATAAGAGGTATTTAATTCTCAACCAAATTAATGAAAAAGCGTAAATATTAATTACTGACATTATCACTCTCACTTATTTTAGACCTATATATACATATAGTAACTTATGTATATTTGTATTCATATCCTATGTGGTATTTTGTATATATATGTATATATGTATATATATATGTATATACATGTATATATGTATATGCTGTTGTTTTATTTCTGGAGTTAGTAACAAAAAATAAATAAATAAATAAATAAATAAATAAATAAATAAATAAATAAA